CCAAATGATTGAAATATTTTTAAAGTTAGATATTAACCTCTTCCGGGCACCCCTTTAAAAAGTTTTGAACGTCCGAAGTGGGGCAGGAGTGATTGCTGATCATGTGATCACAACGATCGGCTGTCACAGTGGTCATATGATCAGGAAAGTTGCCCCACTAGCTACCGATCATTAGTCCGAACTGAGAGCTGTCTTTGACAGCTCGGTCTCTATGCTGGGAGTGCACTCTCAGCACAGAAACATTAGTCAGCCAACAATGCATATGTGCGTCGGCAGAAGGGTTGGCTTTAATGCCCACACACCGCATATATGTTTCTTTGCTGATAGTGCTTTTGCATATGTATTATGCAGGCAGCAACGTATTAAGGTTCAGTTCACATGGGCCAATCGTATACAGCTGAGGGACTCCCCACCCCCTTCATCCACATGTACTGTATACAAGCAGGGTGTATACATTGGGCTTCAAGCAGAAATAGCTTGATTGCAGTTGATTTGACCAATACAGTGACAGCTTCCTGGAAGGCTCGCACCACGTAGCAATTGCACTGTGTTTATGCGGCCTGCTGCAAGTGTCAGTTAAAAGTTAACGCCATCCCAAAAGCAGGTCAGAGAACGCAGTGCGTTTGCTTGAATCAGATCCCATGGGTATGAACACCCATGCTATCAGATTCCAGTGCGGCAAAAAGAAAGTAGGCGTCTGCACCTTTTTCAGGAGGATGCAGTGCAATTTGAGCCATACAAAATGATGAGCTTAAATTGCACCGCACAGAATTGCATCTGATTTGCACAGGAATGCGGTTCGATTCCTGTGCGGATCACATGCAATGTGATAGTGTGAAATGAAGTTTACTGACCAGCTACACAATATCTGATGTGCCATTTATTTTTAATTTTCTTACTGCAGTACTTTCTTCAACAGGAACTTAAAACACACCTATGTGCCTTATCCATGCAGGTCAGATTAACAGGTTACTTACCCCTGGTTCACACATCTGCAGCCGTGCAGGCCGCGTTTTGCGCGGGCACGAGAGCCCATTCATTTGAAAGGACTCCCATGCCCAGGACAAGCAGAGAAGTCCCTGCACTTCTTTGGAAACCGCAGCCCGCACGGGAACCGAGGTTCCCAGTACGGTTGCGATTTCCAGTGCGGGCGGCATGCCATTAGAATTAATGGTGCCCGCCCACGGGTCCTGCATTCCTCTGTGCGGGTGGTGCAGCTGCAGGTATTTTTGTGCGGGTCCCACAGCCGCACCACCCGCACATATGTGAACCAAGCTTTAAAGTGGGAATTTCTGTAAGAGAAAAAAAAAACTGGCAAACAGGCAGGATTTTAATGCAGAAGAGACATTTTCAAGGAGATTTACTAAAACTGGTGCACACAGAATCTGATCTGGTTGTGCATAGTAACCAGGGGCGGACTGATCATTTAGCCACTCTGGCACTGCCCGAGGGCCCGGGGTCAGTAGGGGGTTCCATGGGATGCCCCTGGTACCTTTCAGAGCTTTTTTGGGTGTGGGTTTGAGTGTGGGCGAGGACACAGGGGTCCCATGATTTCCTATTGCCCGAGGGCCCCATAAGTTGTCAGTCCGCCCCTGATAGTACCCAATCAGCTTCTATCTTCAGCTTGTTCAAATACGCTTTGACAATAGAACCTGGAAGCTGATTGGTTTCTATGCACAGCTGTACCAGATTTTGCACTCTCCACTAATGCAGGCCATACATGGTTCGAATTCGGAACGATTTTTCGTCCGAAAATCAAAAAATGTCGTTTGTTCTATAAACCGATGGTGCAACCAATGATTTCGAAAATTGGTCGTTTTTCATGAATTTTCCAGCATGCCCAATAAAGGAAATGTTGAGGAAGCACAAAAATCGGCCGATGCCATTGCCCCACTAACAGAGCGAAAATCAGCCGATTATCCTTAGATCTGATTTTCGTATGAAAATAGTTCAGAATTCGAACCATGTATGGCCTGCATAAGGCTCTCCTGCATTAACCACTCGCCCTCCTGAGGATGTACCCCCCTTCCTGACTAGGCCAGTTTTTACATTACGGTGGTGCATTTCTTTAACTGACAATTGCGCAGTCATGCAATGCTGCACCCAAATGAAATGTATGTCCTTTTTTTCCCACTAATTGAGCTTTCTTTTGGTGGTATTTGATCGCCTGTGCGGTTTTTATTTTTTACGGTATAAAAAAAAGCTGCCAATTTTGAGAAAAAAACAATATTTTTGACTTTTTGCTATTAAACATGTCCAGTAAATTTTCAAAAAATCAAATTTTGTTATAAATTTAGGCCAAAATGTATTCTGCTACATATCTTTGCTAAAAAAAAATACCACTATGTGTAAATTATATCATTTACAAATGGCGATATACATACTGGAATTTTTGTTTTTTACTAATAATGGCAGCGATCAGCGACTTATAGCAGGACTGCAGGACTGCAGCAAGCATTCTGACATTGGGGGGGGGGGGGGGGAACTGACTTGGTGTCACTGACATCCCCAGTAACACCAATACAGTGATCAGGGCTAAAAAGAATAGTATAAAATGTAAAAGCGAGCGTTAAGTTGTAGCAGCTAATGCACTAAAAGGAAAAAACCATATGCCTTCAAATAAATGTATATAAAAAGTGCAGCACTAAAAATATTAGGACAAAATAATTCATCTAAGAAAAACGCACATAGATTAGAATATGTGTGTAGACCATAAAAAAGTTCATAAGAAGTAAATTCATTAAAAAATTTGTTAATCAATTACCAGTTACCAGAACTAGTGGTCACATTGAAAGATTTCCCCTCTATTCCTGTACTGGTGGCAACCCAGAATTGGGAATTTTCTTTATCTTTTGATGATAATGGTAACCAGGACAAAAATAGAGGGTGAATCTTGCTAAAGGGGACACAGACAGCAATAAAAACTTAAAGCAGTAGTAAATCGCCAAAAACAATTCTCAAAAAATGTCTCTTGCAAAATAATAGCATAATGTGCATCGCATAAGACGTCCTCCCAGGATAATATGAATCCCGCTCGGCCGTCATCCTACAATAAGCTGGGCGGGTAGGAGTTAATATTGTTCGGAGCCGGGGCGAACATTTTCTTGGGCCCTACCCTGCAGAAATAATACAGAGAGATGGTCAGAGAACTACAGCAGAAGACTACTGTACTACAGGAGACAGTCAGAGACTACAGAAACACTACAGTAGATGGTCAGAGACTGTGGAGACTGTACTTACAGGAGATGTTGCAGAAACATTAGAGATGGTCTGACTGCAGAACATTACAGGAGATGGTCTAAGAGAAACTGCAGAAAGACATACAGGAGATGGTATGAGACTGCAGAAACATTACAGGAGATAGTCTGAGACTGCACATTACAGGAGATGCAGAAAGACATTGGTATGAGGAAACATTACAGGATGGTATGAGACTGCAGAAACATTACAGGACAGGAGATAGTCTGAGACTGCAGAGAACATTACAGGAGATGGTCTGAGACTGCAGAACAGGACCTCATAAACGCGTTGCAGTCTGCCCCCCTCCCCCCCCCCCCAAGCCTGTCACGGTCTCCTGTCTGCGTTCCTGTTAGTGCCGTGAGAGGAGAGATGCCACGATTTACCACCTTGCAGTGGGTAAGACCATCTTGCAGGTGAAGTCAGAGTGAAGAGATACTACAGGAGATGTCAGAGACTGTGAATATAGTACAGGTGAAGTCAGAGACTTCAGACATAATATAGAAGATTGTCAGAGACTGCAAACAGACTACAGGAGATGGTCAAAGACTGTGAATATAGTACAGGTGAAGTCAGATACTGCAGACATAGTACAGAAGGTCGTCAGAGACTGCAGACATACTACAGGACATGGTCAGAGACTGTGAATATAATACAGGTGAAGTCAGATACTGCAGACACAGTACAGAAGGTCGTCAGAGACAGCAGACATACTACAGGACATGGTCAGAGACTGTGAATATAATACAGGTGAAGTCAGAGACTGCAGACATAGTACAGGAGGTGGTCAGAGACTACAGACATACTACAGGAGATGGTCAGAGACTGCAGACAGACTACAGGAGATGGTCAGAGACTGCAGACATACTACATGAGAGGATGAAAGACTGCAGACATACTACAGGAGAAGATCAGAGATCGTAGAGAGACTACAGGGCACCTGTTTGGTTGCTAGGGCACTATGCGATACTCGCAACCAATAGTTTTGACAGGAGGGACTTGGGAGACTGGTAAATCTATAGGGGGAAGCCAGTTAATCTGGCTCTGCTGGCAGTTCTGCCACTGGTGCACGCTCAAGGGGGCAGCGGCTTTGGCCCACACAACAATGAGTAGGCCCATGGCAGCTGCCCCTTTTGCCCTGTGTTAAAGATGACCCTGACTGACATGCTTCATAGCTTCTGGCACACTGTAATCTGGAGTGATGACACCAAAATAGAGCTTTATGGTCAAAACCATATGCACTATGTTTGGAGAGGGATCAATCAACAAGGCCTATAGTGACAAGAATACCATCCCAACTGTGGAGCATGGTGGTGGCTCTCTGATGTTTTGGGGGTGTGTGAGCTCTAAAGGCACGGGGAATCTTGTGAAAATTTGGCTCATGCTGCACCACTTTAAAATGCAAAAAAGACACTTTGGCAAAATTTGTCTGAGACAGTTTTTCTCTCTGTATGCCAAAAGAAAGTTGGTATTAACCACCTCCCGTCCGGCTGTTGTATATAAACGGCCGGACGGTGGCAGTGCAGGGGCGGGTAGCCGTTTATAAATGGCCTCCCCACCCCCTGCTTGTGCTCGCTCCCTGGGAGCGTGCAGCACCGCAATCTGGTGCCTGCTGTGTCCTCCGGACACAGTGGAACACTGATCGTTGTACGGGACTTCTGTGCGAGGTCCCAATCATGTGATCACTGATTGGCCAGTCAGTGATCACATGCAGAGTAGTAAGCAAGATGTCACTTCTGACATCATTGCTTATTACATATGAAATCTGTGAATGATCACAGAAGTCACATGGGACAAGGCTATTCACAACAGCCTTGTACCATGTGACAAGCTGTAACCAATCACAGCTCACACAGTAGTTCTTAATGGCTGCAAGAATGCAGCCAAAGAGAAGGAGAAATTATTGCTTTTACAGCCTTTATGGGTGTGAAAGCAATCAGTGTAAAAAAAAAAAAAAGAAAATCTTAATCACCCCCCACAAGTAGTACAGTGTCACCATGGTGACACTGTACTGCTAGGGTGACGGTATGTAAAAAAAAAAACAACAAAAAACCCCATAAATAATAATATAAAAAAATTAAATGAAAATGTAAAAAAAAAAGTTTAAAAATTATAATTTTTGCTTATAAAACTAATTTGGGTTATTTTTGTTTTACTAAAAAGATAACGGAATAAATTTTGGCCAAGATTTATGATGAAATATTATTTATTTGCAAACTTTTATAAGAAAAACACCTTTTTTCAAAATTTTTGGACTTTTTCATTTACATTGCAAATAAATAAAAATCCCAGTGGTGAATAAATACCACCAAAATAAAGCTTTATCTGTCTCAAAAAAATGATAAAAAATGTATATGGGTACAGTGTTGCATGACCGTGCAATTGTCATTGAAAGTGTGATAGCGCTGAAAGCTGAAAATTGGCCTGGACAGGGAGGGGGTAAAAGTATCTGCACTTGAAGTGGTTAATTAGCTCCACTTTTTACATTTGGCGCATTTATTGCGACATAATGTAAAAAAGTGGAGAATGTTAGAACTACCTGAATTTGGTGCATGAGTCACTGTCAGAACCAAGAGTGTTGAAATGCTTCAAGAATTTGGCACAATACATTAACACTGGAAAAGTGGCGCAAAGGCGTTATTGGATTCCCTCCAGTGTGTTCTTGGCCTCAAAGATTTTAACCTCTTCCTGTCCGGCTCAATGGGATAAACGGCTGGAAGGGAGCATTGCCCATGTGGGGGGGACTTTCTAAACGTCCTCCTGCATCCATTGCCTGTGCACACTCGCTGGGAGCGCGCAGCTCTGCAATCTGTGCCCACTGTGTTCATCAGACAGAGTGGAACACAGATCACTGTACGGGACCTCTGTGTGAGGTCCTGATTCATGTGATCACTGATTGGCCAATCAATGATCACATGAACAGTAGTAAACAAGATGTCACATGGCACAAGGCCAGTCACACTAGCCTTGTACCATGTGATAAGCTGTAACCAATCACAGCTCTCACAGTATTTCTCAATGGCTGCAGGAATGCAGCCATAGAGAAGGATAAATTATTGCTTTTACAGCATTTATGGGTGTAAAAGCAATCAATGTAAAAAAAAAAAAATCTTCATCACCCCCCACACAAGTAGTACAGTGTCACTATGGTGACACTGTACTGCTAGGGTGACAGTATATAAAAAATAAATAAATACATAAATAATGATACAATAACTAAATAAATACAAAAAAAAAAAAAGTATTTTTTTTAATAAACTGATTTGGGTTTTTTGTTGTTTTTTTTTTACCAAAAAAGTATCTGAATACATTTTGGCCAAGATTTATGAAGAAATATTATTTATTTGCAATATTTTATAAGAAAAACACTTTTTTTTCAAAATGTTTGTTTTTTTCTCATTTATATATCAAAAAAATAAAAATCCCAGTGATGAATAAATACCACCAAAAGAAAGTTTTATCTGTCTCAAAAAAAAAATAAATTTCATTTTGGAACAGTGTTGCATGACCACGCAATTGTTATTCAAACTGTGACAGCTCTAAAAGCTGAAAATTGACCTGAACTGGAAGGGGGTGAAAGTGTCCGGACTTAAAGTGGTTAATGGGACTGCATGAAAAACAGCAGCAAAAAAATATGCGAAAAACGCATGAAATGCAGACATACATGTGTGAACCTAACCTATGCAGACCTCCACAGATGATGCATCAGTTTACTTTGCTATCGTTTCCCTACTGCTCATTGAAATCACCAGGAGTAAAGGCAGGTTCACACTATAGAAATGCAGCCCAGATGTGTTTTTGCATGCGCGTTTTTGATGAGTTTTTTTGGCGTATTCCGGTGCATTTTTTATGCATTTTTGAACCGTTCCAGTGTGTTTTTTATGCATTCCAGTTCATTTTTTCCCCTTCAAATTTTTCTTCAATTTAAATAGGGACATGTGCGTTCCAGTGCGTTTTTGGTGCGTTCCGGTGCATTTTTGATGCATTTTACCGCGTTCCAGTACAGTTCTGTGCAGAAAAAATGCAGCACATTTTACTTTTTTCTCTGCAACCAGAATGCACTGGGACTGCAAGCACTGATGTGATCTATGACATTGACAACCATATAACCTACGTTCTGTGCGTTGTGGATGCAGAAAAAAGCAACTGAAACACATGTAGTGTGAACTGGTCCTACAAGGGAAGCCAAGTGTAGGCCATCGGAGTAATGTAGTTATGGAGCAGTACTGCTCCATGGGTGCAGTGTGGAAGTGTACTGCTATTATCCAGCACCACTTACTCTGTGTAGCTGGGTACAGTGTGATGTTTAGCTATTACCAAGCTCTAGTTGCTCTGTGTAGCTGTGTACAGTACGGTTGTGTATTTCTAGTACCAAGCACTGGTTAATCTATGGAGCTGGGTACAGTGTGGTATATTGCTACCCCCCAGCGCTGGTTACTCTGAGGAGCTGGGTACTCTTTGTTATTACACTGGTATTGCTCTGTAGTTCTGTACAGTGTGGAGGTGTACCAGTATTGTACTTAGCACTGGTTACACTGTGTAGCGACTATACAGAACTGAACAGTACTAGTAATGCATTCAGCACTAGTTACATTGTATATCTCTAGGCAGCGCAGAAAGGCACTAAAATGTACTCAGCACTGGTAATCTCTGTATTAGGTTCCCATGTATGCAGATTTCAGTGTATTTTCCAGTTTGCAGAAATGCACTACAGTCCACTTAACATGATATCCTATGGATCTAGTTCACATATGTGCGCTTTTTGGAAAGGGCCAGGGACTTTTTTCCTGCAGCAGATTGCATTTTGCATTTCAAGTGTTGCGTTTTTTATGCTTTTTTTTTGCCAATAGGAAAGTATTAACCTTGATACCACTTTGATGTGACTTTGGGTGGGTGCAACTTTGATGCAACTTGGATTCGACTTTGGATGTGTGCGACTTTGACTGGGTGTGACTTTGATGCAACTTTGGATGGGTGCGACTTTAATGAGACTTTGGATGGGTGCAACTTTAATGAAACTTTGGATGGGTGCAACTTTAATGAGACTTTGACTGGGTGTGACTTTGATGCAACTTTGGATGGGTGCGACTTTAATGAGACTTTGGATGGGTGCAACTTTAATGAAACTTTGGATGGGTGCAACTTTAATGAGACTTTGACTGGGTGTGACTTTGATGCAACTTTGGATGGGTGCGACTTTAATGAGACTTTGGATGGGTGCAACTTTAATGAAACTTTGGATGGGTGCAACTTTAATGAGACTTTGACTGGGTGTGACTTTGATGCAACTTTGGATGGGTGCAACTTTAATGAGACTTTGGATGGGTGCAACTTTAATGAGACTTTGACTGGGTGTGACTTTGATGCAACTTTGGATGGGTGCAACTTTAATGAGACTTTGGATGGGTGCAACTTTAATGAGACTTTGGATGAGTGCGACTTTAATGAGACTTTGGATGGGTGCGACTTTAATGTGACTTTGGATGGGTGCGACTTTAATGTGACTTTGGATGGGTGAAACTTTAATGAGACTTTGGATGGGTGCGACTTTAATGTGACTTTGGATGGGTGCGACTTTAATGTGACTTTGGATGGGTGAAACTTTAATGAGACTTTGGATGGGTGCGACTTTAATGAGACTTTGGATGGGTGCGACTTTAATGCGACTTTGGATGGGTGAAACTTTAATGCGACTTTGGATGGGTGAAACTTTAATGCGACTTTGGATGGGTGTGAAACTTTAATGCGACTTTGGATGGGTGCGACTTTAATGAGACTTTGGATGGGTGCGACTTTGGTGCAACTTTTTTTTTGCTAATACGAAAGGATAACAGTTCTGTTCATGTAGTGTGACTTTGATGTTATCCTTTCGTATTAGCAAAAAAAAAAAAAAAAAGTTGCATCAAAGTCTGATCAAAGTCAAAAACTAGTAATGGTTACACTGGATATCTTTGTATTAGAAAGTACTAGTAATGGTTACATAAGGTATCTCTGTATAGTATTGTAGAGTAAAAGTAATTGTTATACTGGGTAGCTCTATATTGGAGAGTACTAATAATGGTCATACTAGTAAAGGTTACAATGGGTGTCTCTCTATTGCAGAGTACTAGTAATGGTTACATAGGGTATCTTTGTATAGTATTGGAGAGTACTACTAATGGTTACACTGTATAGCTCTGTATTCAAGAGTACTAGTAATAGTTTCACTGGGTAGCTCTGTATTGAAAAGTACTAGTAATGGTTACACTAGGTTGATCTGTATTGGAGAGTACTAGTAATGGTTACATAGGGTATCTTTGTATAGTATTGGAGAGTACTACTAATGGTTACACTGTATAGCTCTGTATTCGAGAGTACTAGTAATAGTTTCACTGGGTAGCTCTGTATTGAAAAGTACTAGTAATGGTTACACTAGGTTGATCTGTATTGGAAAGTACTAGTGATAGTTACACTGAGTAGCCCTGTATTGGAGAGTACTAGTAATGGTTACGCTGGGTATCTCTATATTGGAAAGTACTAGTAATAGTTACACTGAGTAGCCCTGTATTGGAGAGTACTAGTAATGGTTACACTGGGTATCTCTGTATAGTATTGGGGAGTACTAATAATGATTACATTAAGTATCTCTGTATTGGGGAGTACTAGTAATGGTTACACTGGTTATCTCTATATTGGAAAGTACTAGTAATAGTTACACTGAGTAGCCCTGTATTGGAGAGTACTAGTAATGTTTACACTGGGTATCTCTGTATAGTATTGGGGAGTACTAATAATGATTACATTGGGTATCTCTGTATTGGGGAGTACTAGTAATGGTCACACCGTGTATCTCTGTATTGAAGTGTACTAGTAATGGGTACACTGGGTATCTCTCTATTGCGGTGTACTAGTAATGGTTACATCAGGTATCTCTGTATCGGGGAGTTTTAGTAATGGTTACATCGGGTATCTCTCTGTATTGGAGTATACTAGTAATGGGTACATCGGGTATCTCTCTGTTGGGGTGTACTAGTAATGGTTACATCGGGTATCTCTGTATTGGGGAGTGTACTAGTAATGGGTACATTGGGTATCTCTATATTGGAGTGTACTAGTAATGGTTACATCGGGTATCTCTGTATTGGGGAGTACTAGTAATGGTTACATCAGATATCTCTGTATTGGGGAGTACTAGTAATGGGTACATCGGGTATCTCTGTATCGGGGAGTACTAGTAATGTGTACATCGGGTATCTCTGTATTGGAGTGTACTAGTAACGGTCACATCGGGTATCTCTGTATCGGGGAGTACTAGTAATGGGAACATTGGGTATCTCTGTATCGGGGGGTACTAGTAATGGGTACATCGGGTATCTCTGTATCGGGGAGTATTAGTAATGGGTACATCGGTTATCTCTGTATCGGGAAGTACTAGTAATAGGTACATTGGGTATCTCTGTATTGGAGTGAATTAATTAGTAATGGTTACATCGGGTATCTCTGTATTGGAGTGTACTAGTAATGGTTACATCGGGTATCTCTGTATTGTGGAGTACTAGTAATGGTCACATCGGGTATCTCTGTATCGGGGGGTACTAGTAATGGGTACATCAGGTATCTCTGTATCGGGGAGTATTAGTAATGGGTACATCGGGTATCTCTGCATCGGGGAGTACTAGTAATGGGTACATCGGGTATAACTGTATTGGAGTGTATTAGTAATGGTTACATCGAGTATCTCTGTATCGGGAGTACTAGTAGTAATGGTTACTGTGGGTATCTCTGTATCGGGGAGAGTACTAGTAATGGTTCCATTGGGTATCTCTGTATCAGGGAGTACTAGTAATGGTTACTGTAGGTATCTCTGCATCGGGGAGTACTAGTAATGGGTAAATCGGGTATCTCTGTATCGGAGTGTACTAGTAATGGTTACATTGGGTATCTCTGTATCGGGGAGTACTAGTAATGGTTACTGTGGGTATCTCTGTATCGGGGAGTACTAGTAATGGTTCCATTGGGTATCTCTGTATCGGGGAGTACTAGTAAT